GTATTTGAAGATCTAAAATGTGTTCTAATTATTAACTTGAAATGATTGTATCGGCAAGTAGGATGTTGATGGAAGATATTTATTTTGAACTTGCAGATTTGAAAATCAGAAAGAAGGGGCTAAAAAGAACTTGGAAGAGTTAAATGAACAGCTGGAAAAATACCGGTCCAAAACGCAACAGAAACTACAAAAGGTGAACAAGCAATATCTATATACTGTACAATGTTATTACATTATAATGTAATAAAAATTCTATAGTGCAAAAACCTATTCTCCATTTTATTGGGTCTATTTTGATACAGCGCCACCAAAGTCTTGCAACTTTTCACTGAGGGACATCTAGTAGCCTAGTCTGAGCAAATTTCGTTTTTTCCAGACGCACATTTTCTTTTTAGTACTTTGACAACCAAAAACATTACAGGTTTTATGCGCCCCTATTTATGGTCATTTTGTTTTAAAGACTAGCTTAGGCCTCTAGGCTTACAACATCAAGGTCATGCACCAGTCGTGCACCAGTCACAGTACAAATCAACACTAGTAACTACCACATAGAGCGAAATGTTTTAAGGCCTCTTGAAGTCCCACGGTGGTAGTTGCCAGGTTTTTAGGAAATTTTTATTTCAGATTTAGTGAAAAATGGTGAATACAAATTAAATTTGTTTTAGTCCACATGGGACATTGAATAGTACCCAGTGAAGATTAAGAAGTTAGTTTATATTAAGAATTATGAATTTCAATGTCGTGAGTTGTTAACTAGCAGCTGCAGCCTCGAAATACTCATTTTCCTGGGAGCCAAGATCAGGTCCCTTGACATTTGAACTTATGACCAGTGTAATAACGTGAAACACTATATATGATCGACATATTACCATTTTCACCATCATTTCTACCACAATCAGTCATACGTACACATTTCATTTCATCGATCAGCTACACATATTTTTAAATAAGAATTTGTTATTTTAATTATCTAGTACCAAAGCAGCGAAGAACACTTGAGGGAAAGTTTGTTGCACTGTGATAAAGAGAGGGAGGAGCTTCTGGACAGGGCAACAGGTTTGGAAGAACAACTGCAAGATCTTAGTGAAGAAATAACGTACGGCCTAATTATTAAATCTGTAATAAAAGATCAGTATAGAACAGTTCAAATGGTCTTCGAATCGAAGGTTGGCTGTCATGTGTCGCCACTGCTCACGATTCTCGGCCATTCTTTTTCGTTTTCCATAATTTCTTATGTTTAGCCAAACTTTGATGTTATCAAAGCACATCTTTCTTTCTTGGTCTTCCTCTGCATGCTTCCCTTTCTCTCTTCTCTTCTAAAATATTACATATTAATGTTCCACTCAATCCTCATAGTAATTATATAAAATCTAAATGAAATTCTTTTTGAAATATATTACTGTATTTGTTTAAAAAATATAAATCATGTTGCATAAACTGTATGTGGCAAAGACAAGCCAAACCAGTCACTCATCGCAAAAATCGATTTTGTGTTATTAATACAGTGTTAGAGAGTAAAATAATAGCTATAAAATGGTAAAAAAATCATTCAAATCGGACTTTTCCTTATGAAGTTACAAGCGTTTAACCACACAACTGTTTAAAGAACAATATATGAGAAATCAGCCTTTAAAGTTTATGATTTCAGGCATTTCTCATGCAGAAACTATCTTTAAATCCTTAAAAAATGTTGTTTTAACATTGAAAATGGGGAAGAAAATAACAGCATAGGATGGTGTGTAGATATATAAAGGTTAGTTTAGTGCAATAAAATAGATTTTTTTGAATTTGACATTTTAGCATGTTTTGGCCATTTTCTCTGAAGCACGATTTGCGACGAGTGACTGGTTTGGCTTGTCTTTGCCACATATATACATAATCAAAGGGATAAGATTACTGTAAATTAAGAGACAGATAATATTTCCTGACTACTCTAAATTGAAGGCTTTGAAGAAGCAACTGTATGCCGTAAAAGGGAAGGAAAAGTAGCTTTCAAAGTAAAACAATGGCTAATCCTTCTTCTTCCATGAAAATGCACAAGCGTGTTTCAGGTTAAAAAAGATTTGTAATGAGATTACTTAGTTTTGATTCTCTAATATTGTTCCTCCTCTAATTTTTTAGGAGGCTGAGAGAAGTGGAACATGTTGAGAAACCAGCGCTGATTGCCAAAAACAAAGATCTTCAAACAAGTCTTAGCAAACAACTGCAATTGGTGAAAGAACTGGAAAGCAGTCTTGAAAGTAGTGTACATGATAGAGAAGAGCTTCAGGAGCTGACATCACGCCAGAATCAAAGATTGGCAGAATGTCAGAGAGAAGTAGAGCAAAGCTATCAACAGCTAAGGCAACTTGAAGATCTGCTTCAGAAATTGCAGACAGAAAATGTAAAGTTCTTGAATATAATGAATTATTTTATTAAATGTTTGTTAAGTGTAAGCTGCTTTTCAACTACATAGTCTTGTCTGTGAATATATAAGCACATAAAGCAAAATTTTATTGAGATTTTGTTGAGTACAAATAAAATTTTATTTTTGGCTGTGATTTAACCAAAATTGATTTTTAGTAGATAAATATTTAATTTTATAGATAATTATATTTTAGAACTTCAATTGCAGTTGAAAACAAAGAAAACTGCTTAAAATATACAGAATATAAGACTTTAATTTTTATATACTATTATTTGAAATTTTATAATTTTTAAAATTTGTTTGATTAATATTCTTTTTTCATCATTTAAACCTGTTTGTGAAAAGAACTTACAATTGATATTGACATTGTAATTTTGACACAGGAGCGAAATTCATATACTCATGGCCAAACTCATCAACTTCCAAAGCCATGGACCAGTAGTCCTACAAACAGCATCAAATCGATCCCAGAAACCCTCCTGTCCAGTATCTCTGCTGACTTGGATGTCTACCAAGGAACAAATGGGTCATATAAGGCACAGGTTGAAGAACTTAAGTAAGTCTCTCCATTTGTTGTATGATTAGTTATTATTAATATAAGCATCAACAAATTTGCAGCTATAAATTCAAGGGAGTCTTCCATCTGTGTCCAAGAATGCACAGTTATTTGTGGTCATCATAAAAATCTACACCTTTCACCACCCCTACCCCATAATTTATAATCATTGCCAATCATACATTTTCTTTTACAAAACATTTTTAGAATGAAACTTGCAATGAAAGAAGCTGAGCTGCAATCACTTAATTCTGCCAGACAGAAAGAGGAAACTAGACTTAATGATTCGGGCGTAATGGACGGACTGAGGTCTGAGCTCATGTCAATCATTGAGAAAAGTAAACAAGGTAAGAACACATAATGTTAAGAGCCTCATTAAATGATAAGAGGAGAGAATCTAAGATAGATGGGTGCACTCTATCAAGGCTTTGTCTGTCAAACATAACAGACAATGTTTGATCAGACTTTGATTAAATACATTGTTGTCTTATTTCCAAAATGATATGGAACACTTGATTGTTCAGATGTCTGAAACAAAATCTGTTGGATGGGTGGATGGATAAGTGGATGAATGGATGGATTGATAGATGAATGGATGGATGATGGATGGATGCATGAATGCATGCATGGATGTATATATGGATGCATGGACGGATGCATGCATGGATGTATGTATGGATGCATGCATGCATGCCTGCATGGATGGATGCCTAAATAGATGGATTGATGGCTTAAGAAAATAAATAACAGAAATATATAAATAACTAATCAGTAAATAAGTAATCATTTAATCATTACCTTATTCAAATTTTCTTCTAGGAGATAGAAAAAAACAGGAATTAGAATCAATCATTCAAAAGATGGTTGATGATAGAGCACGCACCAAATCAGAGATATTCATGCTGCGTGACCAATTGGCAGACAGTAATGCAAGAAATACTGCTCTGAAAGCACGCATCACACAACGCAATGCGCAAGTCGTTGAACTGCAGAATGACGTTGAAGAACGGCAGAGTGAACTTGCTGGCATTCAAAGAATGGTAGGTGGAACACCTAGCTTAAATTTATATCCTCCAACCTTTTCAAATCACTCCCAACAATCATTTACCCAAAGCCCCTGGCAGTAATTCAATGAAACACTTTAATTTTTCCAGCTGAAAAAGAAGTCTAATCAACTCGAACTTGTGGAGAGAGATTTGGATGAAAAAAGTGCATCCCTCAGTCAACATGTTGCTAAACTTGAAAGTCTTCAAGAGGAACTGGAAAACAAAAAACAGGAATGCAGAAATTTCAAGGTAGGATTGTAGTGATAATGAGAAACCTGATGGTAGTCATGATGATAATGAATAAAATAAAGATGATTATGATAATCGATAACAGTATTTAAAAAACACTGCTACTAATAATGATGAATAATGATTGCAATTGTTGCAATTTCTATAGTGATTAAATAATTATTGGTTTATATACAGTCCAATTGTCTAAATGAAAAAAAAGTGATACTGATGATAATTGACAATAGATATGATGTGATAATGATAATAAAAATGATGAACTATCTTTTTTTTTGTATATTATTTATTACAATAGGTTAATTAACATAAAACCATGTCATATCTATTGTTTTAAGAATGCTGATTTTCAATGATCAAGGCACTGAAGTTTAACCTAGGGCTTTGACAAGGGGACCTGGATTTAACTAGGGGCATTGCAAATTGTTTAACATGATACTTCAATATTGGGATTGATGGAGCTAATTCCTGGATTTTTAAATAAGGTTACATCCTCTGTACTTATAACTTTTACCCCTGATGATATGATAATGATGAATAGGCCTAAACGTTTACTATATATATTTGACAGAATTTGTTGGATGAAAAAAATGCTGAAGTGGATGATGTCACTCAAAGCATCGATAAAATCAAGAATTTACACGCTGAACAGTGTCATGAACTAGAAAAACAAATTGAAATGGTAATAAAATTATTATCTCATAAGGTATTCAAAGTGAGGAGGGGGAGGATGAGGAAAAGTATCAGATACTTTGCATTCGTAATATTTATGATTTTGTCAAAGACTCTTAAACAATGAAGCATTCTACCTAATACATGGGAAACACAATCAACAGATCCAAATGGGGAAACATTAATTAAGTTAAAACATATTACAACATTCTAAAGATTTATGTGTAACAAGGAATGAACATAAACAAATCAAGTTGTTCCTCAAATGAATATTAACGCCCCATATGTAGAAGATGAAAACACATTTAGTGTTATTAACCAACAAAGAAAGGATGCAAAGAACACATAATTGCAAACTCTGCGAAAACTTGATTTGTTCGTCGAATGGGGAAACATTAATTGAGTTAAAACATATAGAACATTGTAAAGATTGAGGTGTAACAAAGAATGAACATAAACAAATCAAGTTGTTTTTCAAATGAATATCAATGCAAAGAACACATAATTACAAACTCTGTGAAAACTTGATTTGTTCGTAAATATTTTTTTCATAATGAAATTAATATTTTAGTTAATAAAGTCTTTTTTTTAAAGTTGACACTTATGATTTATCTGAGTTTTTTTAACATCCATCTGTAATGTTAGTTTCAGAATCTCTGTGATGAGCGACTCCAGCAGGTCAAGGCTTCAGAACAAAGCATGCTCTTGCTTCGAAGTGAACTTGAGGTCAAGGAATCTGAAGTTAATGACCTCAGCAAGAAGTTACTCTCAAATAACAAGGTATTATTATATTCAAGCAGTAGTCCCACATATCCATGTGATTATTAAGGTTAGCCTGTATTTATCATTCAATGGCTGTTGAATGTAAATATCCTGCACTCTCCATTCCTGTGATTTGTTGTAATGTATTGTGTAGGCTCAATTATTTTCAATAGGTGCATCCTTTGATAATTAAAATGTACTGTATCGCTCTGATGAGTAGAATGCACTTTATCATTAATAATCACATGTTACTGTGTGTCACAGCCTCAGTTGTTTTTAATACGTGCACTCCCTGATGATTATAATGTACTGTATCACTCTGATGAGTAGAATGTACTTTATCACTTATTAATGAAGTAGGTGCACCCTCCTGATTATCACATGATACTGCATGTACATTATTAGAATGAAATTAATTACTACCATATAATGCAATGTATAGCTTTAATATATTTTATTACGTAAACGCCTCTCCACAATTCCATTGTACTATAACTCATGATTATTACATGACATAGGCCCTATTATACTTTTCTAGGCCTAGATCTATCGGTCAACCAAACATATACAGTTTCTCAGTGTAATGTTGCTGCTGCTGCGCCCCTGTGTATCAGTATCTCTTAAGTGTTTCTCTCTGGCTAGCATATAATGGCACATATCATTCAACTTTATAAGTGGCTAAAATGATGAGATTTGCCTCATTATTTCTAGACACACATTGATGGCTATGTACTTTACTATATAGTATGCATATGAAATGACTGAGTAGATATTCCAACTTACAAATTTGAACATCAATGCATTTATGTGTTCATAAATGTGTGTTATATTTCTTAGGAATTGAGCAATAGACTTGCTGACCATCAGGAAGCTTGGGAGACTTTAAATAACAGAGCCTACCAAGATTGCAATAAAGTTGCTCAGCTGGAGAGTGCCCTCACAGTTTGTAAACAACAGTTCCAGAAATGTGTTGAGCAAATGGAAGGGCAAACTGATGATCATGAGAGAGCTATGGAGGCGAAAATGAAGGAGGTAACAATAAGGCGAGACTCTTTTAATTTCTTGTTTCGCGTACTTATTTTTTTAGAAGATTATCAGAGGAAGGCGAAATAAAAATAACATTGTTTTCTTATTTAGCAAATACTTTTGCCAAAATCATCCAGACGTAGGAGAAAATAAAAATAAAAATTTTATTGGTGAATGTAAGATAGGATGGTTAAATACTTCAAATTTATATAATTAGGAAGAAATATACATATCTTATCTTTGGATATTTCAAGGCAGCGGAGGGCGTAATAAAAATAAAGAAAAACTTTTATTTTTTTCTGAAATTTCCACTTTCTCATGGTGGCGGGTGTGCAACTTGGTTACAAAATAGAATTTTACATTTATTTGAAATCATCAATATTTGCAGTCGGCAGGTTTGTTAAACAAGGTATAAAAAAACTCTCACCTAACTGTTCAAAAAAGAATATTGACAGAAAAGAAAAAAATGTTGGTCTCTAGTGACCAAGAATGTGTCATGTAAAGGAGGTCTCTAAGTATGAATATTTTTTTTTTTAATGAATAGCTTTAGATACATTCAGCATGTCATTTAATTTATCTTAGATTGACACACTGCAGAAATTGATAAGAGAACTGCAAAATGAGTTGGAAAGCAAAGAGGCTGAGGTCGCTGGACTCCATGAAACACTGGAGGAAAGACAACAAATGTTGGTGCAGAGTAGTAACCGCATCAGTTATCTTGAGGACCAAGAATCCCAACAGGAACAACAGGTAACAAATATAAATCCTTTCAGTTCAGAATAATGTTTTGCATTTGGCACATTTTACAGAGGGTCATTTTAAAATACAGGTCTCCCTCCAATTAAGGACTGCTTTTGGGACTGGGTTTCCAAGGTATCTAGCAGCTTTGATCTCTAATAATAATAAAGATAAAAAGCATTTGTTAATATGGAGCCACAGAAAAGTGATCTTAATTGTAGGTGTTTTTTAATTGGAGGGTTCTTTAATTGGAGGGATACTTATACTTGTAATGTTGTTATTACCTCATACTATTGGATAACAGTACTTTATTGATAAGCTTGAAGCATGCAAACATTCAATCTTTGGTTTTTTTTTTATGCCTCTAGATTTCTCATCTTGAGAAGCAACTAAGTCAGGTTGAGGCAAGTGCTGAGCAAGATGCTGATGCCATGGAGAAGAAGCTGCATCATGCCTGCAGTGACCTTGAGGAACGTACAGGCCAAGTTGCAAAACTCACCAAGAATACCCAGTAAGAAATATAATCCTCTTCTTCTATTATTACATTGGTCTTATATAGTGCTTCATGCTAACAAACCTAAAAGTGTGTTTTTTCATATTATTACCCTTGTCATTGGACCAAGCACTAATGGAATACATACTCCCTGTTCCCTGTAGGAAAATTACATAATATTGCAGCTTTTTTCAGTGCATTTGTGTTTAAATCTACCATTTAACAACTTAACTGTGTACTCCTGTGTTGAAAATTGTAGGTAAATTGATTGTAAAATGGTATTAGCAGTCATGCACAGCAAGAGATTTGAACCCCAAACCTCAAGTTGAGATCCTGAATCACCACTGCTGTGCCACAAACTCCCAATATTATAATATATAGATATGTTATGGCACTAATCTTATGGCATAAATAGAGAATAACCTCAAATAGAACATTTATGATTAGAAGAAATCATGGCATCATACCATGTATGTTTATTTCTACATGCAGACAGTTGGAACGTGAAGTGGAAGATAAAGGTAAACACATCGAGCATCTCGTTGACGCCTTACAGCAGGTGAAGAAAGACTCTGAGAACCAGACTCAAAAGAAACAAGATCTAGAAACAGAGTTGAACCAGGCAAATACTAACATACAGCAGTACCAACAGAAAAGTAAGATTTTTATACCACCTGTTTCCACCTGTAATAATAATACTAATATACTAATGATCAAAAATGTTTATTTATCATGTGCAAATAAAACTATGAATGAGAAGTAGGAAACAGCACCAATGACAAGGTCAGTGTTTGCGATGCCTGTGTTGGTGGCCTCATGGGAACTAACATGGTATACCAACCACAGTAATCTTGTATAATATATGTAATATGGCCCAACATGATTTGACATTTGAATGTATCATAGGTGATTTTTTAATCAAATACCATACCATATTTTTGTATAGAATGTAATCATTGTAAGATAATTGAACAGCTTGTTTGCTTATCTTATTCTTTATTCATTTTTTAAAATTTTATCTGTATTTTTATTTTTTCAATCCGACTATGGATTTGTATACTGTCAGCGCCTTAAGACGATTTTATTGTGGAAGGTGCTCTACAAATATCCTACCATTACAATATTTCTTATCATGTAGTAAAAGATTTGGAGCAGGAACATGAATCCACACAGAATGATCTGCAGCAGTACAAGAACCAAACTACAGAGATGGACTCAGAGCTGAGGCAGGCACAGGGCCAACTCCATGAGGCATTTGAACAACTTGCCTATCTACAGGGCACTCTACATAAAAGTAAATCTACGGCCAAAAGTCATGAAGAGAAGGCTAACAAGTTAGGTGAAAGTCTAAGGTAATCTAACACAATTGAAAGAAATGATTTTAAAGTTAAAGAAAGACAAAATATGATATTTATGGATGGACTAGTATGAAATAAATAATCAAAGATGTAAAGAAATGAAAAGAAGTTCCTATCTGCATTGCAAGTGAGAATACAGTGTAATATGTGGCAAAGACAAGCCAATCCAGTCACTCGTCGCAAAAATTGATTCTTAGTTATTAATACAGGGTTAAAGAGTAAAATGAGAGCTATAAAATGGTAAAAGAACCATTTAAATCTGACATTTTCTTACAGAGTTACAAGAATCTATACATACACCTGTTTAAAAAAAAACAACATTTGAGAAATCAGCCTTCAAAGTTTATGATTTTGGGCAGAAAAAATCACCATATTATAAAAAAAGTTTTGTTTTAACATTGAAAATGGGGAAAATAACAACAAAGCATGATATATAGATATATAAAGGTTAGTTTAGTGTAATAAAATAGATTTCAAAATTGTTGATATTCCTGCATGTTTCAGTCATTGCGAAGAGTGACTGGTTTGGCTTGTCTTTGCCACATATGGTGATTTGAGGTTGCCAGGAACACTCTGAACACTAAGCCCATATTGCATATCTTCCTATAAGGTTGAATCATTTGATTGTTTTTTCCATGGCAGACAAAGTCATGATGAATTAAAGGTTCGAGAAAAAGACATAGAGCAGCTGGATGAGGCTTTGAAATCAAGACAAAGACAGTTGCAGCAACGTGCAGCCCAGGTGAGCTCAAAATCTGTTGTTGAATCTAGCTCCACATTATATGAAAAAGGGGGTATGAGTGATAATTAATGAAAATTTTCTGTAAGTCAGATAAGACTTGCTTTCTTGGGTTATCCTGGTCTTAGATCTTTTTTTATGTGAATGTGTTCAGATCTTTCCGAATAAAATAAAATTAAATCAAAGCAAGACTAGATTTATGATCATTATTAAGATCATAATTTAGTATGGAAAATGTGACCTTCAGTAACAATACATGTTAAATAAATATATAAATCAAGCAATTCAAATATCAAATTTTATTTTGTGTTTGAGCTCACCATAGACTATATAAACAATATTAATGTTGTCATGTATGTTTTAAAGATAATCAGCTGCTCTGCCATGATTTGAAACATTTAATTTTCTTCAAATTCCTGTTGCAAAAAATATTATTTGATTTTTTTTATTTGTGAGTCCAGCTTGCTCAGCTGAATAGTGCAATCAAGGTGCACCAGGGAGAAATGGAGGAACGAATCCTAGTTCTGCAGTCTGAGTTAAGTCGGACACAAGCTGATTTACAGCATAGAAACAAACAGGTATTTTGCTTCAGGAGTTTTGTTATTTATTCTGTTTCACTTCCAACCAGCAAGTACATAATTAAAGGGCTGTAGGGAGTTGCTTTTTATTGGGAGGAAAAAACCATTTTGCATTCTACTGGATTTCACTGCCATGCGCCAACCTACAACTAATCTCAATCAAAGACTAAACGGCAAAGAGCCTTGACCAAATGGAAACGGGTCAGTCCATATTTAGGATTATTTTTCTTTAATCTCAGATTGAGAATCTGGATGATACAGTTAACGAACAGAAGAGCCAGATGAAAGATAGGGCATTGCAAATACAGCAACTCGAACAGAATATGAATCAAGTGAAGAAAGAAAACACAGAAAAAAGCAGCAGGATAACAGAACTAGAACAGGTAATAAAAGATGCAACATTACAAGTAATACCATGGGTGCTGGAAATACAATAAGGGAACATATAGTACTTAATACAACGGTCGTACCACTGTTGACTGACAAGTCCCTGTGAGCACTAAGGTGGTGTGACGCGGTGTGCCATTTGTTGGTGACAATCTGAACGATCCTTATTCTTCCAAATGTATCACCAAGTACTTCTTCCTAAATCAATCAAAACTTTAATCATCTGATGGAGTATATTTTTTATAACTATGTAGAAAATTAAGAATTTGCAAAATACTTCAGACGATCAGAAACAAGACGTACGTGAGCAGGCGCAGCAACTGCGACTAACACGTGAACAAATGCAACGGCAACAAATTGAGTTGGCTGATATCAGACGACAGCTGGCGGATGTAGAACGTGAAAAGGTTTGATATTCGTATTTGTTTCATGAATATCTGAGCACAGTTCATATATTAACTAACTATTATTATTACTAAAATGTAAAAATCCTGAATGCAAAAGGTTTGATGTTCAATAATGTTTCTATTATTGTTAATTGATGTATTTTTAAACCAGCATCGAATTGAGAGAGAGTTGGAAGAAACAATCCAGTTGTGTCAGAGTAAAGATTCCAACAATACGAGATTAGCTGAGGAGGCTGGTGCCGCAAAAGCTAGGGAGACCTCTATACAGTCCAAGTTATCTGCTGAGCTAGAGAGCCTCAAGAAGAAACAGCATGAAGAGAGGACAGAAAGTGAACTTCAGGTTTGTCACTACAAGGATTTTACTATCAATAATCATGATGTATTATTAACCAAGATTATAAAAAGAATAGGAAAGTTATCATGAGAATGATTAAAAATATTATGATAATCTAAATATCACACAGAATTACATGTCTCTCATCCTTTCCTCTTTAGTTAGCCCAGTTACAGGATAGTTACTCTGAACTTTTAGCCTCCAAAAACCAGCAAGAAGCATCACATAAAGTTCAAGTGCAGCAGATGCAAGAACTGGAGTCTAAGTGGCTGGAAGAGATTAGGCTAGCAGAGGATCAGATTACACATTTACAGAATGAACTGGGAGCGAGGAAAGAGGTCATTGAGGCTGCAAATGAAGCAATTGTTATTAAGGTCAGTACCTAATTAATTTGTTAAATTGATAAGGTTCATATTACTTACAATGACTGGATTTGGATTTATTCAACCATTTAACTATTCTGACAAATTTCATGTATTTTTGCTATATTTCTAGGGCTCATTGTTATCCACCAATCATCCCTGCATTTTGATTTGAAAAGTGGTAGCCACAGGGCCAAAATCAACTGAAGCAATTATAGCTTGAAAAGTGGCCTTTACAAGCAAATTTCAACATTTTGCGCTTAATAATTTCCAAAAACTAAAACGCTGACCAAGATTTTTGTGCTTAAGCATCTCAAACTTCATTGAAGGTTTCACCATCATCATCTTCATCAATTATTATCATCATCATTGTTTGCTGGTATTATTATTTTAATTGAATTTTCATTATTTGCAGGAAGCAGAGGTTGCCAGGTTAAGTGCCAAGATATCTGGATACGAACGAGCAACATTTGGCATCCGGTTGACCCCTAACCATCAGATGGAGACACCCCCAACCCACCAATCATCACATTTGCAGGTGTTTGGACCAGACTTGAGCCATTCTCCTCGCAGACTCATGAAGCGTAGCTCATCTGACTTCCTGCTCTCCAACCTCGGCAGTGAGTCACGGTTCAGTGGTGTAAGCTCACTGGCATCACCACTGAGGGGGAACCCCCGCTATGATTCAAGATATCTTCACAGCCCCCACATACAAGATGAGGATGCAAGAGGATTTTATCAGTCACCAATGATGCATATGTCAAGCCCAAAATCTCACAATATTGCTGGTGATCTTGCTCGATCTAGTCAGAAACAAACCAGAACAATGCCAAAAAAATATCCTGAACTAGATTCCTTCCAAAGCATGCTAGATGTGGTGAACCAAAGAATTGCAAATGAAGAATCAAAAACACATAGATTGAATGGCATGGAAGATCAAATTAAATATGGTGACACTGGAAGCATACCGTATGCCTTCAGAGGCAGCTCTGATGATCAGACAATTTTACATAATGGTAACAGTATTAATGATGAAGAAAATATGTCTGAAGCATACCCGTATGGAGCTGAAAACATCATGCCATCAAATGGAGATGCATCACCACAGAGAAAGCAAACCCAAAGGGGTAGCAAGACATCCCCACCTGTGATTCCATTGAAAGAAAAACTTGCAAAAGAAAGGGCACTGCTTGCAGCATCACAGAAATCAAAAGCTACTTTGCCTGGGCCTCAAGACTTGTAAGTATTAAGATACTAAACCGAGAAGTTGACACCATTTTCCAGTTATTTAAGATTATGGTCAAAAACATCACATGAAGTGAGATGGGACACATTGCCTGGTTGTTAGGATGCACATCTTTCTATCCAATGATCGAAGCTTTAATTAATTCCTGAAAAAAAAATACATGTCAATGAAAAAAAATTGATTATTCTATTTTATGTTTAACCATTTTTAACAAATCCATTTTCTTCTTAGCATGGTGAATCTTCAAGAACGTCTTAAAAATAATGAAAGCAGGAGAAGAAAAGTGGACCGACAGCTGTTTGGAATGGATGAGGAATCTGAAAGAGCAACAGATAATGGTACATGATGGTTCGATGTCAAGCAAGGTGGACTGATATGAACAGGACATCATTGAAAGAGGTTGTTGAGATGCTGTTTCAGGTTATTTATAAGTAGTCTTTTTAAATGAATAAATAATCTTCACAAGGTTATTGGCCTTCAAGGTTTGCGGCCTTTTTGAAGTCTGCTAATTAGAGATTCCCTGAATTCTGTCAATACAAGATAATCATATTCAGTGTTTGAATTTTCTCAGGTAAATTATATATGACCATCAACTGCACAATCATCAGGATTATAAACAGATAAGTAAATTAAAGCAACTCAATTAATCCTAGTCAAGCAACTAAACCCGGACACGCAATTCCATAGAGAATTTGACATGTGAACAATGTGTTGTTTTAATGACGATCTGCTCAGATTGCCACTGACAATCAGCAAATGCCATCCCCTGTTTTTTATCCCCAAGATTGCACTGCATTCTTTACTACATACTTTAGCTCATGATTTAATTCATCAGAGCATTGACTTAAAGGCCTCTTCAACAAAATAGTGTACCATAAAGTTGTGGCTCCAGAAATTGTCTGATGGGGTCCAACAAGTCCGACAGCGGGGTCTGAACGAACCGGCCGTCTAGAGCCTCGTAATCAGGGTACTGGAATAATATCCCTGGTTGGGTTCATGAGGCTCAAGAGATTTTATGATTTAGGATGACCAAAAATTGTACTATTAGACCACAATAATAGAGATTGGCAATCAAATTATTGTTTGCGTGGATCAGTAAATTAATATTTTTAAGGCCACACGTAGCCCTCTCTGGCATTGTCTCTGGTATTATATAGAGGAGAGCAACTAAATGGAATACAACCAGATACAAAGATATTTACCAATAGATATGGTCCCGGGCAGTACTCATCATAGATTTACCTCTTTTATGTTTATGATATAAACTATAATGTACTGTTGATACAGTATAGCTTTATGTAAATTTTTCTAGGTTGTACAGTACTTAAGACATTTATAACTGGCTACTACCAGGCTATTTGAGGGTTTCCATCCATGTGGTTAAACAAGTTATTCTTATTGTATATATCCTCATCCTTACACGTTAGGGCTGACCAAGAGACCAATGAAAAATTTATTTATACTACATGTTTGTTACTATACCAATCATTTATATTTTTGTAGATATATCATTGTGGAAATGTGTGATAATCGTGTTAAAACAATTTTCAGACCCATGTATAAATTATCTGAAGGCTTAAGTAGTTGGTGCTATTTTCATACTCATTTAATCATTTTATCTGTCCTCAACAATGATTTTGACGTATCATTACTTACTCTTGAGCCAGTTTTTTTGTATGCTAAAAACATGAGATCAACTTATTTAGATTTGGTTTTAACTCCAATTGTAAATGGCAAGTGCTCAAACGAAACAAAAGGGGTGCTCATGGAATTTCCTAGCAACAAGAGCTACCTCTCACCGGTCCGTGCGTTAAACTGAGGTTACCTCTATTCAGCGTTTCAACACGCTTCGTGTATGCACATTTCAGACAAGGCTTTTTGTTGATACTATTTAAAGCATGCTTAAATCATAGGGGAAATATCCTTTCATGCTTAAATACAGTACACAGTGGCATAAGTTATTATATTGGGTTTTTGGCAAGGGTCCATAATTACCATTAATTACTACCACTAATAGGACACGTTGCATTAACAGTCGGTTAATGCTGTGTTGTAAGGAACTGAAGGTCGGGCGTTTGAATCGCGCCTTAGTGTTTAATTTTTTAGATTTTTTTGTACAAGTGAACATTCTATTTGTTTTTTTTTGTATAAATGAACATTCCAAAATGTTTGAGAGCTGTTTGACAAAAAAAATTGGAAATTTTTAAATATTTAGAATGAAAAAAAATTAAAAAATCAATACAAAGATGCGATTCAAACTTACAACCTTCGGTTTCCTACTACATAGCTTTAACCGACCGTGCCATCCATGTGACTTGTCCTAGTGGTAATGGCAGTAATGTACAGTTCTTGCTGAAACCCCTGTTTTGTTTTCTAGGTATTTGGGGAACCGTAGTGTCTTAAAAAAAGAGCCATGAACGTTTGTTGGAAATCACCTCTATGTTTATGTGTACAAAATTTCCTGCACGTCCGTTCATAATTGGGGGTTGCAAAGAAATATGTGCTCAAGTCCTTCACATGGTGTTGAAGAAGTATCTCGGGGTCCTTGAGCAGTGGTGGATTCAAAGGGGGCCTAGCTGGCCCAGGCCCCACCACTAAATTGTTCACAATTTTTTTTTAATGGAGATATAAAGAAAATTATATTCAAATTTTAAGTCTGAGAGTGCAATGTCTGGCCATCCAGAGGTGCCATAATCACACATTTTCTAACCTCAGCCCCAAACAGGTTGGGGCTGTGGTGGTATAGATCCTCCATCTGTGAAACTTCCTCCTCGGGCCCCTCTATTTTGAATTCCTGGATCCGCCACTATTGAGCCTCTAAATAACCTGCATGTACCACTGTCTTTATTTTTGTTGTGTGCTGCTATAGTATTGTGTAAATTTATTTATATGTAATGTTGTGTTAATGTACAGTAGGCCTTTAGATTTGTTACAAACCATTGTAGATTTCATTATTGCCAAAACAACTTTCAGTATTTATGGATTGGTTCTTTTTTATCAATCATGAAAAGAAATGTACTGTATAAAATAATTTACTGTATTGGTGTTTGATGTGACTACAGTTTATTAAAGGTTTTTTGAAGTTAAATGTCTCTGAATCAGATAAACCCATTGTTTTAATTCTGGTAGGAAGTAAATACCTCTTGATTATTATAAATGGATTTTCTAAATTTTAAGATTTAAGTTTGTGCAAGCCGCCTCAATGCCAGACCTTGTCAAAAGCTTTACATATGTCTAAAGCTTGGCACTCACATTGGCGGATTCAAGGGGAGGGGACCCCTAAATTGAACAAAATAGAGATATAAAGAAAATTATATTCAAATTTGAAGTCTGAGAATGCATTTTTTAGCCATGTAGAGGTGCCATAATCACAAATTTTCTTACCTCAGCCCCCACCATGGTGGGGCTGAGTTCACCACTGACTCAGTGCACCCGGAAGTCGTTGACCGATGCGATTCTATGAAGGCAACACAGCGATTTGCGTTTTGCCACCGGAAATCAGCAGATGGTGTCACGTTTTCTAGCGCCGCTCACATTGAGCGGAGTTGGATTCATCGTACCAAGGCCGTACGATCGCTGTACGGTGAAGTGAGTGTCTGGCTTGAGAGAAAATGGCGGAACCCATACTGGCAGTCAGTAGGAAGGTTGTTTTGTTTTTTTTAAATCTAGATATACTAATGGTTGAAAAAAAAAATTGTTTATAGTGATTATTATAGAAGCACGCTTTTAGGATGGTAATTTGATTACTCAGAAGCAAATTTCCATGATAATGGAAAACTGGATAAGGCCTATACCAAGTAAAATAATTTCAAAAGTATTAGACTAATACCTGAATACCCCTCCAGAAGCATACTGCCTGGGTCAACAATTACACCTTATTTTTATTAGTATGTGTCGGTGTGTGCGTGCGTGTGTGTTGGTGGCAACAGTGATGGTGGATGACAGTAATTGCAATAATAATATTATCAGCAGCACAGGTGGTGGTAGTAGCAGTAGTAGTCTAAGATTAACTAACAGATGATAATATTAACAACATTAGAGCCCAACTTGTACCAGAAGGGTCCACATAAAGTAAAACAGGAAACTAAGTACCAAGTAGACTTTTAGAACACAATGTTTATTGTGACCTCAGGTCCTCTTCAGCTATATATATGTATATATA